CCGTGTGTTATCCACCCCACTACGGCTACTACTGGGTTTTTTCGTTGAAATCGCCAAAACTCACGTTGTCTCTCTCGCGCGCTACTCCTCTCGCGCATGCGCGTCGTCTTCCGTTAGTCTCTTTTTCATCGTAGCCAATCGCAGCATTGATTACTAATGGCAAATGCGAAGTGCGAATAGAGAGTTAAGACGCCTTTACATGGACGTCAAGATACTTTAAGCTACCTTTATATGACAGCGTCAGAGCATATTGCACAGTGATATGTTTAATTTAATAATTTTGCTGAAATTGAATTTAATGTATGAGATACACTAATAGTGGAATCTCTTGTAGTTTACTATATAAATATAAATTTTTATTATTACATAGAACAGTATCAGAACACAACTTCTCTTAAATAAGGAGCACAGACTTTTGCATAACTCATAATACGTAATGCATAAGAAAATGTACCAATCGAAGTCCTTCGTTTCCTTCTTTTTCATGAAATAAAGAATTCTGATTGATTCAATTTCTTATGCCTTATGTGTTATGCGTTATGTAAGAGTCTCTGCTCTTCGCTTTATGGGCCTTCATAATCAGAAGTCAGAAGTTAAAAATTGATCAATCACAGTAATCAATTTTTAACTCTTGACTTTTAATTTATAATTAATGACTTATTAAGCTGGTTCTACATTAGTTGCAAGCTGATCGAAATTTGTTGCGACAGCCAATCTGAAGCTTGCATTTTGAAATCAACGCTTCATATTGGCTGTCACAACAAATTTGCGATCGGCTTGCAAACCAATGCAGAACCGGTTTTATAGAAGGCCCTTTAGAGTATATCCATACATGTGCGGACGGTATTCAGGACCAGTTTCATCACTGCGGTCAGAGAGCTGTAGGATTAGCATCATAAGAATATTGGCTTGCCAAAAATTAAAAAAGCATTTTGAAGCTCGAAGTTTGTACTTTAATATGCTCTTGATCGTCTTTAAATTTAATTCTGCAGAATTGAAGAGATAAAAAATTCTTGCAATGATTTTTCGCCGAATTTCAACATTCGTTGTAAAAAACGTTTAGTTTCAAAGTGGCATAATTTGATCAAAAAAAAGTATAAATTTTGAAAAAGTATTTAAATTTATGAAAAGAAATAATAAATATTAGATTGCGCGCGCGCGCGCGCGTGTGTGTGTGTGTGTATAATAAAGAACAATATTATATTATTCAAAATTTCAAGAATTTTCCAAAGAATATGATAATTTCAAGTATTCGATTTTCAAATTGTAAAAGTCAATATCCGTTTTCTCCAATGTACTAATTAACAATGTAATAATTAACTTTAATCTCGGTTTTATTTATTTTTTATGTTTTTGTAATTTTTACAACTAGAAAAAGATGAATCAAAAGATGAATTAAAGTCTACATTGGTGGAAATGAGTATAAGGATGCTTCTTCATGACAGTTGAAATTTCAGAAGTCACACAACCAATAATTAGAATCACTTAACGCGTTATACAAACGATTCTTATTGGTCGTATAATTTTTTCGGGATAAAGAGAAAATATTTAGAAACATTATATTCACCCTTCGCAATCACATTTAAGTAATTTTTTACCAGTAATTTTTTTATTTCAAGAAATAAAAACTGAATACAGCAATCAATTAAATACGCTTATTTTGCCCTTGATATTACGGAATTTTTAAGAGGTGGAACCACGAAGGATTAACTATATATTGGTAAAGATGTATTAAAATATTTAAAATGCCGCATTGTTTAAACATTCATTTATTTTTTACATTTGCATACAAAATACAATAAAATTCAATAAAATTTTGCAATCTCCTAAAAATATCCGTTCTGTATATCTTATTATATCATCATAATTGAAATAAAACTTAATAATCATAATATTAATTGTATTCATTTAAATTAGATCATAATTGATTTTGCATGTTCAAAGATAAAAAATAAATTATTTAATTGTAATTAATGTAATTGACTATACTATTATTTTATAAAAATCTGTACAAAATTAATTGTAAAATAATAGCACATATTAATATGTCTTATGTTAAATGTAACTTTAATCGTGCTTACTTTAAAAATATGGATACATATATTAATCATAATTTTCCATTATGAAACCAAATTAAAGATAAATGATTGCATACATTTGCATTAAGTAACATAGGAACTAAGCGGTGTAACACATCTCAAAAGCAAGAACATAAAAAAAATATATATATTGAGTAATACATGGCTCAGATAATCTCTCTACATGTATCATTTATTATTTTTATGATCTAATTAATAAAATCTGCAAAAACACACTAAACTCTCACATCACAACAGGCAATTTTGTTTAATATATAGTGCTAGTTAATATTATACAAAATCCATTAAGCATTTATCATCATCAGCAGTTTGTGTATGAAAATACATCTAAACTTTCAAGGTAATAAATAAAAATTGCACGTTTATTTTGGTCAGAGAGAATATATGCATTTTTAATTAGTTATCATTTGGAGTGTAGATGTTCTTCTTCATCATCACTATAATCATCACTTAAATAATGATTATTCTGTGAAAACTCAAAGCGTCCTGTTTTCTTTGGTGGTGGACTGTAGATAATAAGATATATAAATTAAGATATATTTAAATATGTACGAGATTTTCACAAACAGTAAAAAAAAACGGACCTTGCCTGATCTTCATCATGGCTACTGTTACTACTACTTGGGCTACCGTCCCTTTTTGGACTCGCTGGTGGAGATAACGCTTGCATTAAGCGTCCTTTACCTTCATTCCAAATTGTTGACTACAAACATAAATAAAAAATTCCAATATATCTTTATATAATTTACATATGATTTAGAAAATATTTGAAAAGTACGCATCC